GCCCAGAGAGGCTCTGCAGTAGGCTCTGGGGTCAGCTCTGCCTTGGACCAGGAATCACAGACAGACTCATTGAGGGGTTTCCACGGGTAATCAGGAGGAAAGGCCAGGCCTGGTTGGAGGGGGAGGTATAAGGTGGTATGCCTTACGACTAGTTCCCACCTTTATTCAGGAGCTTGGAAAACTGCCCATCAGGCTGAGGCTGCCAGATTCCAGGGTCTGGTCTAACACCAGAGTGGAGCTGCGACTCTGTGATACGGGACACCTAGTCTCACTTTCCCCCTCGCTCCAGGGTCCTGCTGTGATAACAGTGTCTTGGCCTAAGCCCAGCAGTAGGGCTTCCTTTGCTCTGTTTGCGGTGGGGGCAGGCCTGCAGGCTGGCATGATCCCCGGCCTGTTACATGCCCTCTGGCCTGACCCACTGACCCTGTCTGTTGCTGGTGCTGAGCAGAGAAAGTGACAGCATCTATGCGTTAGACTATACGCGCGAGATGCAGCTCTAGTCCGTCCCACAAAATCTTGGTCATTTGTTTTTAGGGGACAGACACTGAGCCAGCTACACAGCAAGTCCTAAGGAGGCAGTGATAATATCTACATCCAGTACTGGCTCTCTGACCCTATTAATCCCTGGACCACTCACTGGTTCACATGCTTTTGAGAGAACCAACTTGGGAAATGGCGGGCAGACACAACACGGTGGGGAATCTGTGCATTGAACGGAAAATAGAGTCAGTGCCTGGGACTTATTTGTTTCTCATTTGCTGTGGAAAGAGATTGTCTCAAGTTTGGAAATCCACATTCCATTTGGGAAAGCAGACCAGATTTCTGCTGACAGCGAGTTTGGCAGCAGGGAGATTTTGTCTGTTTTTGCCATGTGAGCTCATTTTCTGGGGACACACTACCCAGTTCTCACTCAAGATGCTATCAAGGCTGTACCTTCAGCCACAAAGTTTTAATTCTCACTGAATGGCTTTTTGAGTTTTTATTTAGGATGCATTTTAAGAAAATATACTGCAAGGTCTTCCTTCTGCAAACAGTTGGAGCCACTAGGGAACATGCGAGTTAAACATCTTTAATGGAATCTACAGTCAGCCTTCCTGTGCCTAGGGGCTTTCAGAGACTCTGTATTACAACATGACTGGGGTTGGGTTTCTCCTCAGCTCTCCAAGGCCTTGGATCTTTGACCTAGTGCTAACACAATTAAACTTTTTCTGTACAGAAAGTTCTTGTTTGTTTGTTTATTACCCACTATAACAATTAGCAATACAAGAAAAGTTACATTTCTCATAGAAAACACAGGAACTAAAGTATTAGGTTAAATTTGAAATTGGTGAGGGGATGCTGAAAGCCCTGAGTATGTCAGGCTGGAGTCTCCTCTTGCTTTCGGAGGCAGTAAGAGCCCAGGGCAGAGGCCTACGCTGGACACCACCACATATTACCAGCCCACGATGGCTGAAGTTGCATCATCTTTCCAAGCAGATGGTGGTATGTCTGAAGCCCTTCCCCGCAGAGCAGAATACTGGGTACTCGTGCTTGTAGGCACACTCAGGCTTTCCTGGGGATGTGCTGCTCTGGGCAGGGTTTATGTCCTTGGCAGTAGAGCTTCTTTCTCAGTTTCTCCTAAATCCCATCAGGACATAAGCTAGCAGAGCAGACCAGGACATTTACCATAGGAGGTCACCCAACAGTCAGCTCAGTTCTGATACGAGCCATGAGACGTGTGAATAAGGATTGCACACAATGGATTTATAACACAGTAGGCATTTTTTTCTTTTGGATTTTGGATGAAAGTATTGACTAGGGACATTTCAGATGAAGAAATGGCCATGTTTTTAAACATTTGCATCTGTGAGTTGCAGAGGCTCAACATAAAGCAGATTTCCTATATCCACCGAAAGCCATTCTGGCATGAGAAAGTTCCCTTGCCTAAAGCAAAACAGATGTGTGAGTGGGACATGCCAATTCTCTGAGGGGTGTATCAACATCAGAATTACACAGCAACCTCAGAAACTGTATATTCTGTGAAGCAATGAGCATAGAGTTCTGACCACATTTCATCCCTAAAAACATTGAAAGTAGAAACTCAATATTGGAAAAAGGCAAATTATTAGTGCAGATGAAAATCCATTATCCATGCACAGTGTCAAAGGCTCCCTACCAAGCGAACTGACCCCATACTGCTTTCTCTATTCCAAGTTCTTGCCACGTTCTGCACCAAACATGTGTATTTAGGTTCACTTGATTTTTTAAATGATTATAAAGTGGCACATCTCATTGTGCTTCCTATGAGGAAAGACTACACGCAGTTCATAGGCAAATCAATGTGGAAATAGGAACAGGGACACAGGCGATCTCACTTAAAGTATGGGTCAAGTTCACAGAGAACAGGCAGGTGCTGCTCAGTGGTCTGCAGGGTCCTGAGAAGGGACAACAACGCATGCTGGCCACAGGTACTAAACAGGAAGAAAGGCAGGCCCAACCCACCTGCCAGAATGTTTATAGTGAGACAGGCAGGTGGGAGAGAGGATGAGCTCTCCAGGGAGTGACCATCTGAAGCAGGCTGGGGACAATCTCAAACCTGTCAGTATGTGGAGCAGAGAGAGCAACGGCAATGCATCTGGGTGTGACAGAAAGAAAACCTCAGACGATTCAAACACCCCAAGTGCTGGAAGTGCTGGTCACATTACAGAAAGTCAAGGAACATTCTGTTCTCTCTCTCTCTCTCTCTCTCTCTCTCTCTCTCTCTCTCTCTCTCTCTCTCTCTCTCTCTCTCTCTCTGTCTCTCTCTCTCTGTCTCTCTCTCTCTCTCTCTCTCTCTCTTTCTCTCTCTCTCACGCACCCACGCATGCACACACGCACACAGTATTAGATGCATTAGATGCACTTGGGAGGGTATAGTGCCTAGAAATAGTTGGGCACACATGAGTATAATAATAATCACTGATGATAAAAGCTTTATAGACTGCTTAAGCAAATACAGATATTTTTCACTAACTTTTTTTTAATTTCATGCTGATGCAAATTAAATTCTGGGCTTTCTTTACCTGAATTAACACAGAACTCACCAAATAAAAGCCTACAGAGTCCTGTGGCACTACGAACGTTCCATTTCCTTGTTTGTTTTTATGATGAATACTAGCAATTTCTTATGATTTTTATAAGGCATGAAGTATTTTCTGAAAATGTATTCCAATATTCGAATGTCTGAATGAGAAAAAGCAATTATGGACAAAGGTGCTGCATCCATCAAGCACCCTCTAATAAAGCAAGAAGAAGGCGCTGTGCCTGCGGGGGGTATGCAAATAGACCGGACTGCGGGGGGTGTGGCGGGGGTATGCAAATAGACCGGACTGCGGGGGGGGGGTAATACAAATAGACCGGACTGCGGGGGGGGGTGTGGTGGTGGTGGTGGTGGTGGTGGTATGCAAATAGACCGGACTGCGGGGGGTGTGGGGGGTGTGGTGGTGGTATGCAAATAGACCGGACTGGGGGGTGTGGTGGGGGTATGCAAATAGACCGGACTGGGGGGGTGTGGTGGGGGTATGCAAATAGACCGGACTGGGGGTGTGGTGGTGGTATGCAAATAGACCGGACTGGGGGGGTGTGGTGGTGGTATGCAAATAGACCGGACTGGGGGGGGTGTGGTGGGGGTATGCAAATAGACCGGACTCTACCTTGTGAAGGTTGACAGAGTGGTCCCGCTTTGTATGTCGAGGCCACTTCCTCTGGCTTGTTTCCCTGACTTGTGGTGCAGTCCTTTGACCATAACTCCTTCACTCACCCCCCACTCCTCCCTCGCCCACCGTTTCCTTCATCTGTAAAGCCCGATTAGAGCCCACTCCTTTGTTGGCTTTAATCTTCTGAGGACCTCTTCCTGCCTACCATCTCTCCCACTTTTGGTTTCTCTGCTACCTGTTGGCTTTTTTGGCATTCATCACGGAGGTTTATAACTTATCTTGACACATGTTGACATTCTGGCCCTTAAGGCAGTGATGTGTTCTTTGGACAAGAAACTACGACTTGTACTTGTTCTATGAGAATCTTTTTCAAAGGAAAGACCCTGTGTCACCTAAACTTGTGTGTGTTGTGTGTGTGTGTGTGTGTGTGTGTGTGTTCACAGATCCTGAGCTATTTGGAGGAAGGCTCTAAGGAAGCTGCATTTTAAACATGTTTCCTGGGGGACTTTGATGCATGGTAAAGACTGAGTACCATGTATGAGGGTGAAAAGACCACAATATTATAGACATAAAGGAGCAAGACGTATTTTTTGAGTATACAAAGGCACACACACAAAACACAAACCAAAGCAAACAACAACAAAATCAAGCAACGAAAAAAATGTGCAAAATTAAGAGTTACAGTTAGACTCAGTGTTAATGTCACAGCCCAAATATATTTTTATGAAGTCTTTTGCACATAAAGTGGTATTTGTAAAAAGAATGTTTTTGCCCTAGTCCCAAGGCTGCTGAAAAGATAAAATATCTCCCCTAACTTTCCTCTCTTCTTCCTTTTTGAGTGCTGGATTTGGAGGTGTTAGGAATCGCCTTACCCCTCAACAAAACCCCAGGGTACTCCCTAAGCGCCTCCCTTCCCTCCTCCTTATACTCATTACTCCAGCTCCGCTTTTTGTCTAGGAGATACTTTTCTGCTCTCCTCACTGTGACCCTTAGGTTCAAGATAAGGAATGGACCAGGAGGAGCAGGATACACACGTTTTCAGTGTCCTGTTTAAAATAGAACCAGACAGTTTTCAAAGCCAGCAAGATGGAGGGAGGCAGTGCTCGGCCATAGTTAGCACCTGTGTGAGCCTGTAGGAAAGTCTAGTGACTTTTCCCCACATTTCCCAAAGACAGCGCTCCCAGGTCTGTTTTCATCTGACTTCACACACACACACACACACACACACACACACACACACACACACACGCACGCACGCACGCACGCACACACACACACACACACACACACACACACACGCCTGCCCGCCCAGCTCAGGTCCAGATGCTGCTGGGGAATAAGGAAGGTCCCCAACATCAATGGATGCTCAGAAGCATGAGCATACTGACACTGTGTTGTGAAAGAGGTGACTTTGATTTTCACAAAGGAGTGAATGAAGGCAGAAGGCATTTGGGGGAGACAGACCAGAGTGCTAAGAAAGGGAGGGCTGAGGAGCCCTCATCTCTGGAGAACTTCTGAAGTGGCCTGAGGCGTGAGGGCTGAGTCTCAAGCCTTTGAGTCCCTCTTCCTCCTTCAGGCCACTCTTCTGATAAGAAGCTTCCGGGTCCTGGTCCTGTCATCAGTGCCTCACTGTGGGTCTGAGCTCCTTGCTTCAGGCAGCTGGGCCAGGATTTAAAACACATCTTTATTTCCTAAAGGTATGTACATTTCTCAGGGCAAAACTGTATCAGAATAGCATTTCCAGTCAAGATGCCTCAGCGTCTCTACTCGGAACAGCTAAAGAGGCAAAGACCCTGACTGCTTCGATATTCTGCTCAACCGTAAGGCTGGCTAATGGAGGGCTTTCCACTCTGGGCTCAGTAATCTGATTCTCCTGGAAAAGCTTTTCTCGGGTTCCCAGAGGCATCTCCTGTGTCCCTCCCATCCCATCTGCAGTCTCTGTGGTCTTCAATCTCCAGGTATCATTTCAAGGTCAGACACAGCCACGTCCTGGGCCGTGGGTGGCCAGATTCAAAGATGGGGCACTTGGTGTTTGGCCCCTAGTGTTCTTTCAATGATGTGTTACATTAAGGGCAAAGGGAGTTCTACAATATAGTGATGGATCCATGGCTTTGGTAGGGAGATGACCTCTGGAGGGCCAAAACTAAAACCATGGGCCTTCTGAGAACAGTGCTTTCTCTGTCAAGTAGGGGGGAATGCCTATCTATGAGAGATTGCACTGCAGAGGCTCTCTCTCTACTGCAGACTTGGAGCTGAAGAGGCCAGGGAGCCAGGCCTTGAGAAGCAGAGGACTGTTCTTGAATAGAGAGTGGGGCTTCATCCAACAGTCTCAGACAATGTCAGTGACCTGTTTGGCTTTGGAAGCAGGGCTTTCCCAGAGCATCCATGTGAGTCCAGCCTAACGAGCAACTTGTTTGTAGCCATGGGAGACCCTGAGCTTGCTGGACCAGTTGCCCTAGAGATCGTGAAGTAGGCAGTGGGCATCATTTAAAGATGAATTTCTGGAAATGTGCTACAGAGAAAAATTTCATGAGTGCAGGGTCCCCTGAAACTTCTAGAACCATGTTCCATTTGCCTTGAAGACTCTCATTCAGTCAGCCAATTCGGACTCTACCCAGAGGGTTGAAATATAATCGTGTGTGTGTGTGTGTGTGTGTGTGTGTGTGTGTGTGTGTGTGTGTGTGTGTGTTTGATATTCAGAGGTAAAGCCTTTGACTAATATGTGTAGAGTCCTAGGTTCTGCCCCTAGCACAGCAGGGGGGGACATCAGTGGGAACTCTGGTACTTCCCAGCAAAAGCCTCTGGTTAGCCCACATTTCTATTCACATCTTGCCAGCCATGAGAAGCTCTGCAGAGTGGCTCTCTTAAACCTTGATGTATCTTGTCTCATTTCTCCTTTCAGAAACCCCACTTTCCTTGTGCTTAAGCCAAAGAAAATCTATCAAACACAAAACATCTATTGCTTCTAGGCTGGACACTGTGTTCAGGCCTGTTGCCTGGTCCCACTCTGTGACTACGCCTCCTCTGCCATGAGCCACGGTGCTCAACTCTCTGTTCAACTCCATTCTGATTGACTGTTTATACATGCTTCCATCCTGGCGGGCTCTGGTTTCTTGGGGATGTGGGTTACATCCCATTACTCTGTCTCCCAATGACCCTGCACAGGGAGCACTAAGTACAAACAGAAGGAGTTTAGTTTTAATACTGGATTGGATTCATGGCTGAGATTTCCTCAGCTGTTGGGTTTTAGGCATGTGCTTAAGGTTCCTTGATGCAGGGAGATGAGGGCCACAAGGCCCCTTCAGCTTAGTCCACTCCTGGAGTCTCCTTGAAGGAACAAGAGGCTGCAGGAGCCAAAGATCCTGCCATCCAGAGGAGGCAGAGAGAAGCTGTGGAGTAACCACCCTTCTCTCCCCTCTGCAGGCCACAGGGGGACGGCTTCTCCAAGAGGAGCTCTCAGCCTTGGCAGAGGCCAACTGTGTTCTCTGCACAGTGAAGGTGTGACGGTGCAGGTACTGTAGGAGAGCTAAGGGGGTGGGCAAATGTGAGGGGAGCTTTCTTCTTTTCGTATCGTGTGAAATGTATGTTTCAAGAGAAATAGTCACAAAGATAAAAACGTGTAATAAATTCTGAACCACGAAGAAGAGGCATTTCTCACTGCCTTTACGATCTGCAGTACTGTATCTAATCAGTCACTCAGCAAATTTGGCAAAGTCTCTGATGATAGGCCACAGAGTCTGCAAAGCAGGACCCATCAGCCGTTCCTCTCCACACCTCAGAGCCTAGCACGGTTCTGGGAAACCAGCATGGTGTCACAGAGGAGGGGAGGAATGGACAGTTGGAGTACAGAGCCAAGGTGGGGGAACGAGTGCCGAACACCCGGTGACTGGTACAGGAAGGTCAACCGGGAAGGAGCCATGGGACTTAGAGACCCCTGGTGGCCTGCAGGGGTTGGAAGGCATGGCCCCCTGAAACTTGACCCCAAGGTGGCTCCTCCGCCATTGGCAGGACAGATGGATGGGTTTGGCTAGTTTCCTTACAGAAGACTTGAGGAAGAGAGAGATGCAGCCCTTCACTTGTGACCTTCTGTCCCCTTTGCCTTCAGCAGTCACAGCAACTGGGCACCTAGACATGGAGATCAAGCCCTTCATAGACGCCACATCTGTGGACACCGTGACCCTGGGCTCCTTGGCCTCCAGAACGGTGAATAATGAATTTCTGGTCTTTATGAGTTGTGTCACCTGTTTGTTGTAGCAGCAGAGATGGGTTAAGACAGGGGTACGCAGGGAAGAAGGCTGACTGTGAGAAGGAACAGAAAGACATGTTTAAAGACTTAGCTGAATGTGCACTGTGGCATGGCTGGCTGAATGAACCACTGGCTTGCAGGAGCTCAGAGGAAAAAGATCCTATCAGGGGCTCTCTCAGCATTCTTGACCCTTTGTGTTGATAATCCTCTGTTATGGTGCTGATGTGTACATTGTGTTTGTCAGCATCCTTGGTCTCTGCCCATTAGTGACCACCAAAAAGCTCCCTAGAAGTCACCAAATCTCCCCCGAGGCAAAACAGCCCCCATTGAAAGCCACTGACCTATAATTAATAACCTGGAGAAACCTCCAGATTGATGAGGACCAGACATATGGCAAACAAAATAACACAGACAAAACCTTTTACATGATGGGGGGAAGCATCCCACGCAAATGCAGTTCCACAGTCTATATTGTTTAAATGGATAATTGAAGGGCTCTGATAGGACAAGCCAAATGTGTTAGCAGTGGCACAAGGCTGGGGCCGGGGCCGTGGCGAACTCTGGCTTTACCCACACTGCTTGTTCCAAAGGAAAAACTAAAAGGAGAAATGGTGGAAATGCACTTGAGGTTGAAGTTAATCAAAGAATGGAAACTGAAGACATAGGGATTTGTGTTCAGCAGTGCAATGAGGCAGAATTAAAGGGAGGAAGTTGTAGGACATGGTAGAACTCAGCACTGCTAAGTTCAGTCAACTGACAGTTCTGCTTGAGCCTCTCTAGAAGGGGCCCCAACACTTCTAAAATGCTGCACCAGTGATGGCTTTCCCACCAGGGTTAAAGATGCGTGAGACACTAGAGTTTCTCTTCCTGCTTTTCCGCTGCGTGTTTCTTTGATTTGCAGTGCTTTGGTGTGTGTCCAGACGTCTGTAGTTACAGCACTGATGCCATTGTGGAAAGTATAACACTGCAGAGTTGGCAAGCCCTGAGGATGAAGGCTGGCTTAGAGTGGGTTTGGTCTGGTATAGCCTGAGATGCTGCAGGAATCTATTTGTTTTTCATTAAATTGTTTGTCATTTTTCTCCATGATCTAGGGAACATTTATTTCCCCTGAAGAAATAGGATCTGAAATGTCAGAGGTTTTTCTTGGTTCTGCTAGGGTAATGGGTTGTTGAGCAAAAGAGATTTTTTCTTAAATGCCGTTTTTTGCTGAGGAAGGAGGCATTTTGTGACCTTTTGCCGTTGTGCAGTAATAATGAATTTTCTGACAAACCTAGAAACCTTGGGTTTCTTTGTTAAGATAATAGGCTTTGAGGAATAACTTTGACCTTGACCTTTGTAGAATTAATCAAATACAGATTTTGGAAAAATTGATGAGTTTGGTCTTTACCAAGACACTCTAATTTATTACTGTCATGGAGGCAGTATACAGATCTATACCACGCGGAGACATCAAACGATTAATTCCAGCCCCAAATCCCTGGGAGGGGGTATCCAGCCTTCACACAGTATCGCTTTGTTTCCCTTCTCCTTTGTTCTTATTATTTAAAAAACAAAACAGAAAAAACCTTTAATTGTAAAAGAAATACATACAGTGAATCAGACCAAAAGGATAATGAAAATTATCTATAATTGCACTTCCTCACATTAAGGGACCATTGTGACACTTATGTCTATTCTCTCTAATCCCATTTGATGCCTCTATTATTTTTATAGAACTGACACTGAATATAAAATACTTTTTCTTTTTATTGGACAGAGTGTTTGCTGCTAATATTTAAACACTTTGAGAAGAAAACACAGGAACAATAAATTCTCCTACTTCCCACCTCTGAATGTGGTTAAATAATGAGACCTGCTTCCTACATTCCAGGAAATGGCTTTATTTTCAAGATGTACAGAAATGCTGGAGCACAGGATGGAATCTTATGCAACCTCAGTACTTCTAAAAGAGCACAGGGGGTTCTGTAAAGAAGTCACACCCACAGCCCAAACAAGCTGCTGCCTTACTCTCAATTTGGGACCTCTTCCGGGGAGATGTTCAGCTCACTGCCATTTACTGGGAGCCCAAGTTTTCTTTCTGAATGTTGGCTTCGTAGGAAACTGTCTTAGTCAGGGTTCTACTGCAATGAAACACCATGACCAAAAAGCAAGTTGGGGAGGAAATGGTTACACTTCTATATTACTGTTCATCATTGAAAGAATTCAGGACAGGAACTCAAACAGGGCAGGAACGAACAGACGCAGAGGCCATGGAAGAGTGCAGCTCAGTGGCTTGCTTCCCCTGGCTTGCTCAGCCCACTTTCTTTTTTTTTTTTTTTTTTTTTTTTTTTGGTTTTTCGAGACAGGGTTTCTCTGTGGCTTTGGAGGCTGTCCTGGAACTAGCTCTTGTAGACCAGGCTGGCCTCGAACTCACAGAGGTCCGCCTGCCTCTGCCTCCCCAGTGCTGGGATTAAAGGCCCGGCCCAGCCCACTTTCTTATAGAGCCCAGGGCCACCAGCTCAGGGATGGAACTACCCACAATCATTAATTAACAAAATGCCTTATGGCTGGATCTTCTCAGCTGAGGTTCCCTCCTTTCAGATAACTCTAGTTTGTGTGTCAAGTTGACATAAAACTAGCCAGCACAGATATCAAGAAAATAGGAAAAGGAACCACAAGTCTGAGTCAGGCTTCAAAATTGTCCTGCCTGCTGACTTGAACTGTGTTGTGGCCAGACACACTCTATTACACTAGTATTAGAAAACATCCTGGGATTTGTATAATCAGAAAGACAATGTACATTGCTATAGATCCAACTTAAAAAAGAATTTGGGGAAATAACTTATAGACCCTCAAAAATCCGTTGTGAGATTTAAGGTCTTGTGTGTGTGGTGTTAGAGGTTGAATTTAGGGGTCCTGTATAAGCCAGGCAAGTGCTCTGATGTTGAGGCAGGTCCTCAGCCAGCCCTGGCATTTGAAAAGGCTTGTGTCTTAAACAGAATACTTATATAAATATATTAAATTATAAGGCTTGAGCTTCAAATTAGGTGAAAATCATCTGGATTATGGCTCTCTACTCACACCGTAGTCAGAGAACTAGCCACTCAGGTGGGCACTACTTAGAAATTCATCAGAAATGCTGAGTTCTGGGCTGGAGGGATGGCTCAGAGGTGGCCTGGGCTACTTGTCCTGAGGACCTACACCTTCCAGAGAACCCAAGTTCTGTTCCCAGCACTCCCATCACAGGCTGCTCACACATACCTGTAAACTTCAGTTCCATGGGGATCTGGTGCCTCTGGCCTCCTCATGCATGCATACTCCACCCCCACCCTCACCACAAACATGACCTTTAAAGAAAAGAAAGAGAAATGCTGATTTCTGACCTAGTGTCAATCAACCAAAGCAGGAACTTTGCATGTACATTCAAAAGTGAACAGCATTGGTATAAGAGCAAAGTGGTAGACCAGATGTCTAGAATGCAAGCATTATTACCTGACAGTCATATGTAATTTCCTAGGAACTGCAAGAGTGGCTAGTTCTGTTCATAGCTTGCTCTTTTCTTCAAGCAACAGCCTAATTTCTAATATGACCTCTGTACCATCTTGTTATTGATCATCAGTCTGCCCACTACTGAAAGGCACTACAGAGAAGATGTATGTGATTTTCCTGAAGTGGAATAACAATGCCAAGGATATTATCCTTTGGTTTTAAGTCAGGCTAAGTCAGACAGGAAGAGGATGGCTGGTGTAGATTGATGAAGCACTGTACTATAATTTAGTACATTTTGACTGACACTATTAGAACTCTAAGGAGTGCATGTTCCTTCACTTGCTCACTTCTATTTCTAGAATCAGAGAAGCCCATGGGCAATATAAATTCTCAGGAGTGTTCAAAAGTAGGTCTAAGATCAGGAATACATTATGCATAGCAGTTAAGGGAATTTAAACTCAACCCCCATTGGTTTCTAATTCACTTCAATCACTAAACTTGATGAAGTGCCACTGAGTTATCTAAGGGAAAGCAGATAGTGCATAGTCAAAGAGCTGATGTCATCCTTGGAGCTGTCAAGCCATTCATAGTTGGGAAAGTGATTTGTTTTAAGAGAAAAATGTACAATCAAGAAAAAGTACAGTTCTTAGATTTACTTACATTCTCCCCCAAGAGCCTGGTGATTTATATATATGGTATATATCACTCTTCTTTCTTTTCTAATTTGGTGCTCACTGTCAATATTTTCATTTTAAAAGAATTTGCATTTATTTGACCTCAAATGCAGGGAAAATTCTGCTTTTTATTATTTGTGGAGATATGTGGTAAAAAATCACCTCATAAATTAGAAGATATGGCTGACATTAGATAAAGGGAAGAGTCTAGATTCATTTTTAATCCCCAACATTTTAAAATATTAGTTATTCACAGAAATCAGTACCATATTCTAACTTGTCCAAGAAACAACTTGGATGTACTCCTCAACTTGTAAAAATGAAATATGTATATTATAAATAACCCTTTATTTCAGTCAGAAAATCATAAAGGAATGTGGTACTTAAGCTGACTTTCCTCTTTTATTATTCATTTTTGATTGTGGTGCCAGATTTAATGAACTAAGTTATTTTTCTAAGTTTTTTATAAAATCAAAGACTTGAGGTGAATTTAAGTAGTCCAAGTAGCTGTGATTGCCTGGTTAAGACACTGAATTCAGATAAGTGTTAGTCTCAAGTAAATGTTTCCTCAACTTACAATCAGCAGAGTCAAATCCAAGCTTTCTCATGTCTTACTTGACCAGCAAGCATTCTCTTTCAATGATATGTCTGACATGTGGCCAATATCTCTTTTTAAAATATTTTATTTTTATTTTATATTATATTTTATTTTTAAGTTATATGCATGCTTGTGTCTGTGTATGGAATATGTACTTATAAACATAGAGTGTCAGAACTGGAATTACAGGTAGTTGTGAGCTGCCATGTGGGTGCTA